GCAGCCGAGCTGAGAGAGCGACTGGTTCAGGAGGCCAGGACGGGTGGAGGATTAGCAAGTGATGTGTGTGCGTGCAATTGGCAGTTGGGCCTCACTTTTACGTGAGAGCAGCGTGACCCAGAGGCACTGCAGTGCCGGGGTCCCTGGTGACCCTTCCTGGCCTTACGCACCGCGTGGTGGGACCGGCACTGGTGTTGGGGGTCGGCCGGCGTTCCCATGCCACCAGCGCTATGGCACTGCATTCCTGTGTCAAGCAAACTGAAGACTGTATGTGTCATTTTAAGGCATTTCTTAGGGTCGGAAAAGGTGAAGTCATGTGGTGGGACATGGTTGCAGTCTGCTTCTCTGGGACAGTGAGTATTTTATAATTTATAGAAAACAGAACGCAGAGGGAGCCGTGTGAAATAGCCAGTAGCCTGGTGGCTAAGATGGTCCCCGGTTTCTGGTCTGAATCAGACAGAGCAGGGACCTTGGTCTGAACCTCTGATGTCCAGGAGGAGCAGCTGGGTTATTTTCAAACCCTTCCAGCCAAAAGTTTCATCAAACCTCTGTGGCTGACAAAGCCTCCAGACTTCTTGTTTAACCTAAGTTCATGTTCCAATAAAACACCCTTTCCCTGGAAAATGCCTGACCATCTCTGTACTTACAGGGACACAACAAGTAGGACTCATCCCCTGTGATACAACCACACATGTTAGGTGTATATATTAGATCCTTTGGCCTTAGGCTAATTTAGATTACTAGTTCTTTTGTTTTACAAGGCATGCGTGGTTTTTATTTTGTTATTTGGGAGGGATTTTTTTAAGTATTTTTGGTAGGAAATAGTGGGTCAGAATCTACCCAGATGGTGTCAATGTCATCCAACTAAGACTGCTGAAGAATCATGGCAGAACAGGTCTCCCAACACCAACAAATGCCGATGGACACCCATCAGCAATGTTATTAAGAAAGCAATCAGAGATCCAGGGGGATTACATGAAAGTCTACCAACAAAGTAACAATTTTAATCAGCTTTTATTTCAGTCCATGCAGTGACTAAAAATCATCACTCCAGCCCAAACAGGCTTGGGCTTCCTGACATTAGGCGGAGAAGAATTGGCATCCTCTAACTCCCAGAACCATTTGAACAAAATGAAAACATTTATTTCCAGGGAAGAGTAAACTAAAAGGAGGTACTTAGTGCATTCAGGGCAGTTGTGACTACTCAGTAATGCATTAGGTGAGCGCTAACTTTTTATCTGAGGTTTTCTGAACAACAGGGATACCTTTGTACTTTCCATTAACTTCATGAAACCTAGAAAGCCCAAACTCACCAAGTAGGTCAATGATAACTCCTGCAAATGGTCCTAAAGCTAAAGGGTGCTGTTGTATCTTCCCCAGAGATCTTTTTTGTTCCAGAAAACTGGGATTCCCTTGGCACAAGGGCTTCCAACGAGTTTAGGTCCTGATTTTTTCATACTGGGAACTGAGCATCACTCTTGCCCATCCCAGCCAGAAACTATCTCCCTGTTCAGCTCCTGAATAACATTACCAAAATTTGCCTGCCACTAGCAGTTAGCCTGTATTGCACCTGCAGATTTTTGCAGGTTTTCTAACTGTGAGAGCTTGGGGTTTCTCAGATGAGACTCTGAAATCTGTACTGGCTGGGAGTCTGCCAAGGATCAGTACAGGTCCTCGAGTGTAAATATTGAGTGTCTGTCCATGCAGTGGCTATTGTAACTATATCATATTTTGTTTCTGAGCAGATGAGATAAAGTGTATGCAATCAGTTATCAGCAGTAACATTTCTCTCTTCTTTTAAAACCTATGAGCATATAAGGCAAACTCCATCCAGGTACTTTTCAAAGGATTTGTGCATAGTATATGTTATAAATTTTCTCAGAGGCAGAAATGACAACAGAAATAATTTAGTTGAAAAACAAATGCTTTTTTTCACTTAGAGACTTAGCAAATTCTTTACGAGAGAGGTATAAATAACTTCCTTTTTGTCTTCCAGAGACAAAGCAATGTCACGGTCACATTTAAATCCATTGTACTCTATGTCTTCCATCAAGTACTGTCAGATTTTGATAGATGTTTTGTCTGTACAATTTGGGTAAATTGGGCTTCCTACACCATGGATCTTGGGATTTTCATTTTAATTGTGCTTGCTTGTCTGTGCTTTTCTCCCAATTTGTCTTGTTCTTTAATATTAACAATCCAAAAAAGGATTTTTTTTTTTTTACTGCCAAATTTTATGTAGAATAGTTACCAAAAATAGCAGTAAAAGCAGTGAAGACCTAACAAGCAGTGGCTGAGAGAGTTGTGATGGTACATGTGTGCATGTACATATTCCTCATAGACTCTGGAGTCAGCAAATTCTTAAGACCTTCTGGCACAATCAGACTGAGAGATATAAGTCACAAAGGGATATGCATTTAGGTTATCTGGCTTTTGGAGTTTAATTTAAAAGCTAACTTGGATCTTACAGCCTTTGAAGGACTATAACATACAAAAGATCAGAAGATGTTAAAAGGACAGCAATGCTTATGTAAACAAGTATCACCAAAAACCTCAGGGAGGTTTCTCCTGAGAAGGGGAAGTTAGAGGTCTGTCAGTCGATATTGTAGAGAACACACTGAAGCCTGTCCAGATGCTCCATTTTATGATGTAATTGAGCATAAGTGGGTTCGATGTGAAATGGTCATACATCAGTTTTGCTGAAACGAAGTGCTGTTTAGGACCTTTGTCAAACCTATTCACAAACACAGGGAGCCGTCAAACCAACTGCTCTGGCTGGATAGCTCAATGACCATTGCAGAATTTTAAAACACCGGCAGTTATACAAGCTAAGATTATAAAAGTAATTAAATTATATGTTTGGGTCATGTGCAGATTGCTTACGGGAATCAGGAAGCAATTTTCTCTTGCTGAATATGCTCCTTACAAGATCCTTAGACCAGGACTGTAGAAACACAACTGAGAAATGTGGTCTTGAGGCAAAAGCTTGGCGGTAACTCCCTTGGGCAATCGCAGCTCAGTAGCTGTCCCTGGAAGAAATAATCTTGCTCTGGGACCTAGGGCAGCATTTCTCAGTTTAGGAGGTATTTATTTCATTTCAAAGAATTGTATCCTGCAGTAAAAACTTTATTCTTTTTCCTTCATTTTTCTTTTATTCTTTTTCCTTCATTTTTTTCTTTCATGGGACAGATGGGGTTTTCCCTGGGTAGCCTGTTCACGGCCCCGGCTGTAGCAGGATGCCCTGGGTGTTCTTTTCACCTTCCTCCAAAGCCTCAGGTGTAGTCAGAGTACTAAACTAGAATAATAAACGGGCTTCCCTGATGTGGCAAATCCTGTGCTCCTAATGGCTCATTAAGCAATTTCTAACTGCCAGAATCAAGCAGCCTCCAAAACAGATTGATTCTGCAAAAAACAGTTATAGTACAGTCTGGCAAGTTGGGATTTTCCTTCCTTTTTTCTTTCCTCTGGCTGGTTTCCATTTTTGTTTGATGCTTTCAGATGCCATGTGTGCAGGGTTTTTTTGTTGTTGTTTTTGTTTTGTTTTTCAGTATTTTCTCATGTAGTAATTATCTTGTTTCAGAGTTTGAACATACATCATAAACATAGATCATCATCTGTGTGTTACGGTTTATTGATTTTGGAAGTTTGAAAGCTGGTTGACAGTTAAATCTTTAAAAAACTAGGCAATTATTTATGTACCTCAGTAGTTGGTCTTTATGCAGTTGTTAGCAAAAATGTTCTGCTACTTGTTTTCACATACTGCTTTGAAAAGTACCAGTGAGAGAGCCCCCCTATTCTCTTTCCTCTTCCTTATTGGCATTGTATATAGAGCCTGGGTTTCAGCTTTAAAATTATTTGCTCTTGTTCTTTTATTGCCAGACAGACTGAATCAATTAGTCTTCTTTAACCAAAATGAATAATTGAAACTTTCAAAAGTTCAAAACAAGTTTGAAATTTGGTTTCAAAGATAATGTTTATACCCTTTTCAAATAAAGCCATTCACCTATACATACTTCTACTTATTATCACTATGCTTTATTTTCATACTGCTTCTGTAAATTATAAATACCACCATCAAATACTGCATTAAGAATAAAGTTGCGCTGATATTTAAGTTGATTACTTAGATAAGTCTGGTCCTGTAGCTGGCTCTCAGCAGCATTTTCTATGATCTTGATCAAGTCACTCGTCAGTGCCTCAGTTCTCCTGACTGCAAACTGGAGGTAACGCTGGGCATCTTTCAAAGCCTGGAAAGCTCAACTCCCCTATTTTTTAAAAAACATTTGTCAGACAGAACCCAGTTGAAATGCAAACTGTTACGAATAGTCATTATATAAATTATTATGAGAGTGTTTATGTTAAAATGTTCAACTTGGCGATCTTTTATGATCTCCATTAGGACTGGTGAATAAGAGCCTGGTAAATAAGGTGACAGTAAACCAGAGGCCCATTTAAAATTGTTTGTAATAGTTCCTCTTGTTTTTTAGTGATTTAAAACTGACGCTGGTTCTTAGCTAGGTCTCCAGACCTACATGTTCTTCTTTTCTTCTCCAAATAAAATTTCGAGGAAATTTAGTTTTAGATGTTGCAATGTGATGCTCTCGTCTAAAATTTGATATTTCTTTGAGTACAAACCAGTTTCATAATCTATTTTGAGTATGTGGCCAAATGAGTGAAATCACACCAGAAGACGCTCCTGTTATTTGAAACTGGCGTTATTGAATTTGAACTTGAATTGTAGCCTCAGTTTGTCGTCAGAAATTATTTTGCAAAACCAATTTAAACAAACCTATGTCCCAACACTACTGAACTATTTTCTCAGTCAGTCACTAATTGAAAAACTTCATTCTTAATTTAATGAGTAACCACTTAAGGTAGTTCATATAATAGGGTTTTACTTTATTTTTACATATATATTTATATATATACGAATGTCTATTTATATATGGAATTTAAGTTTGCACCTGCACTTATGGAAATAGAACGATGATTTCACCTGTTTATAAAGTTACTAATTTGTGATCTGAATAAAAATATTTCAGATGAAAAGGGTAACATGATAATGAAATATGCTATTTCCAGGAGAAAAGGGCATACAATTGTGATTTTACTTACTGTAATGTCACTATGCATGCTACTTTCAAAAATATTGTTTATACTATTCCTATTATTTTATTCTTCAAGGTCTCTGGGATGCATTTTATATGAGATGTGCTGTATGAACCATGCATTTGCTGGACACAATTTTTTGTCTGTTGTGTTAAAAATTGTAGAAGGTGATACACCTTCTCTTCCTGATAGATATCCAAGCAAACTGAATGCTGTGCTGTGCAGGTATGTTATTTTCTTGTTTAGCAGGTTTTTAAGTTAATTTGGAAAATTGCTTAATTATGACTTTTGTTTTTTAATGTTTCAGCATGCTAAATAAGAATCCTTCATTGAGACCAACAGCAGCAGAGATCCTAAAAATCCCTTATATTGATGAACAACTAAAGGTATATAAGAAAAAGCGATAGCTCTACACTTAGAGTTTGAGTATGTATTTTGCAAAAGCAGAATGGAGGTGGAGAAAATGTGTTGAGAAAAAATAATCACATAGCAGTTCATTAACCCAGGGGACTTTCAGAGCTAAATTACAAATATGACTGAGGTAGCGAGGCAGTGAGAGATGAAGCCCTTGTCACTTTACGTGCTGAATGTATCTCCCTTTACATGTTACGAGCAATAAGGAGAATGGGCATTTGTGTGTAACAAGTGCAGATCATTCAGGCCTGCGTACATATAATCTCTAAACTGTTCTGGTTAGTCACAGTTTTAATGAAAAACAGTGCATCTTGCTCTTTTGGTCCCTGCTTCAGCGTATATATTATTTGGCTTTCTAAGAAGGTGGGGAAGGAAACCGCCCAATCAGTTTTTACGTTCGGACTGTATTGGGTCATAGCTGAGGGGTCTGAATCACTTTAGCCTCAAGTGTTGATACCACTTCTATTTTATTTCCTTGCAGAATATACAGTACAAGTTCACAAACATGACTGTGAAGGACAAGGCACTTAACTGGCAGAAAGAAGCTGCTCCCATTTTTGATGCTGTGCAAGTATTTTTAAGTGTTTTATGGGCAGAAGTATATGAAATTATAGTGCTGCCAAATAATATCATGTTGTAAACATTTGTGTTAATCTCATAGTGCTTTATATTTAGAGGGACCCATTCCCCAGAAATACAGAAGAGCAACCACATTAGTGAGATGCATAATTAAGATTTAGGGGAAAAAAAAGAATTTGCAGATCAAATATTTTTATTATATAACTGTGTAAATTGCGCATGCATGTGTCGTATATGCATATGTTAATTTAGTACTAATTGGTATGTAAATTATGACCTTTGTCTTTACATTTTGAAGGTTTAGATAATCGTTTTAGTTATGTCATGATCATTTATAGTGCTGCTGTTTGTGTACCTACTAATTATTGAATGTGAAAGCTATGTTTCCAAAATGACACCAAACTAAAAGCGTATACACTTAAACTAATATTCAGCTAATACGTCTGTAGGATACTATTATATGTCTTGTAACTATAGTGAGAAATTAAGGCTAGCAATGTTTCTTGGCTCTTACATCAGTAGTGCCTTCGCACATGATCTCTCTTTTAGGCACCGAATATATATTAAATTGATTAATTGCATTAAATTACAGCGCTGCAATGATTAAAGCAAATGTCAGCAAGGGCAATTTAATTTTGCCTTTGTAAATTAGCTCTGCAGTTTCGATGGCATCTGGCCCTCCCCTTTGCTTCCTGTCCCTCAGTTTTCTGTATGTGGTTTTGCTCTGTTAGGAGCTAGCACGCTAAAAATCAGGAGTTTGTGATCCTGTGCAGACGCAATGGACATCCCTGTTTCTTGTTTCCTCTAAATAACTGTCAAGACTTTAACAGCTCTCTGAAATTTCTTTTGAATTATTAGGTAACAGCAATAAAGATGCCCATGCTCCAATCCAGAATTAGCAATGCCTTTGAGGCAATAGGCCTTTCCCCTTCGTTTTTTGTGACCTCTGCTCTCGGAGGGCACCCACAGTTTTGCAGCTGTGGTCACTTTGCAGATGCTGCTGATTCTTCTGCTTGCAAGCATTCCTTCAGGACAGGTGACCAACTTCAGCTTTTCCAGAGAAAGTATTATTTATTATCAGCAGTAGGAAGAAAGCGGAGCAAAGGCAGTGGAATTCAACACAGCAAAATGTTCTGTACATCTTTTTTAGCCAGTTTAACTACTGGGAGCGTATCTGTAAAGCTCTCATCTCTAGAAATTGTGGTTTGGGTTTCCACCCTGTCACTTCTGTTCTTGCTCTCTCTCATTGCCAGATGAGTCTCTGTCTTTATATCAGACCAAAGTTCCCTGTTCTCATATAAATAGGTACCTTTAGTATAAATAGGCTGTTGAACTTTGCAAGCATAGATGTAAAATGCAACAATAAATGATACAAGTATTGGCTAGTAACAACTATCTAATAAATAACAGCAAATGGAGCCGGCTGAGACAGCTGTCAAGTTTTTGGCCTTACTGTTCTGCGTGATTGCTTCTGCTAGAAATAACCCTTTGCTAGTATACTGGAAATATAAGAGTCAGACAGGTAGATATGCAATAGCCAGGAAATATTAGATGTATCTTTTGTCTATGGCTGCTGTATTCAAGTTGATTCAATTAACTCTGAGTGGCTTCCTGCCTATTCAAATTAAATATAGTTAACTGCAGAGATGTTCCTTAGAGATATACCTTAAATAGTTTTGGGGCACTGAAATCTTGCCCAAATATTATGCCAACTCTATCTGAATTATATTGAGTATTTAATGCTTATTGAAATATAAAGTATGAGAATCTTCAAGAAACTTTTAATCCATGCCTTTATTTTGTGGGTACAAGATGTCAAATTATCTGTATGCACCAAAAGATTGTAGGTGCTTTGAGGAAGCAGTATTTTTACCTACAAAATATATACCCAGACTTCAAATATCCCCATGCTTCTAGAAAAGACTGATAAAACCACTTTCTATTATTTGTAACATATACTATGTTCCATACCTGATCCATTGTCGTTAATTTGAATATATTCTCATCACCTTGCAAATGGACATCATATATTGACAGAGCTAGCATATGGGGAGGACATGAATGCGTATCCCAGAGTCTATAACTATTCTTGTTCAAAAGTAAGTCTGTAGTCTCTAAGAGAAAGAGCAAGTTCTAACTACAAACATCATGTTCTTACACTTTTGTTAAAAGAAAATAGAAAGTCACCTGCTTCTGTACAGAGTTTTAGAGCTCCTAAAAACTGTGGAGCAATGGATAGCAACTGTTTTTGCTTGAGCATTGAAATTTACCTTGAGGTTTTCAAATTCAGGGCATCAATTTGAGAAAAAAATCCTAGGAGAAGCTAAAATAGCTATAAAGTTTCTTCAAATGTGCTGCAGTCTGATTCTTTTTGGCTAAATGTTTGGAATATGCATAAAGTCATAATCTTATTATGACTTTCATTGTATTTATGAGAACATTAGCGGTCTGTATTGCTACTGGTAAGCAAAATGCCAGATAATTTCTGCAATCCCAGATCTAAAGAGGTAGGTAAAATGAAATAAAAATACCTGAAAAATGGTAGACAGCAGAAAAGTGGAGGAGAAATAATTTAAACATAGTGAGTTTCCCACATCTGCTGTAATGTAGCAATACTCTAGTCTGAGCCAGTGTACAAGGAGCTGCTTGTTATGGTGTCCTCCCCAGTCATTGCTACTTTATATTTATGATTTTTTTTCTCACCAGGAATTATTTTTGCCATGTATAGTTGAATCTAATTTCTTCTAGTAAAGGCCTCTAATGGCTTACTTTCTTCCAGTCCCATGCAAATCATAAATTTTAAATATTTAAGTGAGCATAAAGCTGTACAAGTTCAGTTTCGACTTGGATGAAAAATGGCTTTTTTTCCCAAGAGGTTCTTATAATTTAAATTAAAGTTTTTTACAGGGGACAAGAAATATGTCTACATTATTCATACTTGAAGAGTTAGTTCCATTCTTATGAATAATTGAACTCTTCTTGTCTTTGTCCTTAGTCTTTCATATTTCACACTAATATTCATATCTTTACACTATTTCCCTCTATAGTCAACATTTGAAAAGCATAACGAAAACTTCTCTTCTCATTTATTAAAATCCTGATTTCAAAATGATAGTCCAGAAGGAGTGTTGCAATTTGTATGGTTACAAAACTGGGCTCTTCTATGATCAGAAGCGAATTTATCTCATAAAGGCAAAAATAGTCATTTGAAATGAATACTTGATATCATAAATATAAACAATAGAAAAATCTGGTGTAAGTGAAATATGACTGCCAAGGCATTGCAAACTATGGTTTAATTTTTGTAATTACTGTAGGATGTGAGATAAAAATCTGAGTTTAATATCCTTTTTCTAGTATAGGAGTACTATTGTGTTGATAAATACAGCTGAGATACATACATCAATAATTCATGCTCAGCTTTCAGAGATGGTCTATGGAGACCATTTTACCGGTGAATTGTTATTATTGATTAGGACCAGAAATTCAAGAGGACAATGTGATAATTATATCTGTCATTAAAAACATATTAATACTCTCTTTTATTCTAGACAGCTTGTAACAATCAATGTAAAATGTATGGGTGATATTGCTTTTTTCTGTGGTTCTCGTTTAAAGACTGCCTTTGTACTTGGAATATGCTCAATAATGAAGCCTGTCAGGGTAAATATTTCGCTGTGCTTCAACATTTATTCTTCTAAGGAGCTGAGTTTACCTTTTTCCATTCTCACCTGAAATGCCTGAAATGGTTCACGTTCTTCATGAATCTAAGTCTAAGTTTAAGTATTTAAATTTAAAAGACGCGTTTGCTTTCCAAACTAAAGTCTATTTAGTCTGTTATAGTACCTGTGACTTTCTAATTATTCCATTTGAAATGTCAGTATGTTTCAATATCAAATCAAAATACTGATATTTACATTTTTATATGACGACGGGCTTGCATGAATTCAATTTCAGGCAGAGGAAAGTTCATTTACAAACTCTGCAGGAACTGTCTGAAGTACAGAAAATGACACCACGGGAACGGATGAGGCTGAGGAAGTTAAATGCTGCAGATGAGAAAGCAAAGAAGTTGAAGTAAGTTGAGCATAACGTTAGCATCGTGCCCTAACCATGCAGTTTTCCTTATCCAACAGTCTAACGAGAGAGTTAGAACTGTCAAGGTAAAAATAAAAATAGAAAGGGTCTTCAGCTGCTCAAAGTGAATGGGGATTTTGGATGAGTTAAATCACAGTTATTATTTATGTAGGAAAAAAACAGTCAGAACATTAGCCCAAAACTGGTACTTTGAGCGCTGTGTTTCTGGTTAAATAAGTATATACGTGATTTTTACATGTTACAATAGGAGATTTTTTTTGACAACTTGTCATTTTAAGGATTGCACAGTCTGAGGAGTTGGACATTTAGTTACAATCCAGCTTTTGCCAATTGTTTTGGCCTAAGAAATTTGCCAATAGAAGTTAATAGCTCAGAGGATAGTCTTATTAAATGATCAAACGGGGAGAATGGACATGTTAGAAAGGCTTTATGATTCATGTTTTTTTAATTAAGTGAGTGAGACATAATAAAAGGGGGGATTTGAAGGAGAATAAGTACCATTTCTGAGTGGAATATGAGAAACAGCTGGAAAGCTATGTGTGTATGCATGGATTCCTTTTTTAAATAAAAAGAAGAATATACTGTTTTGATGACATGCTTGAGTTTTTCCCAGTTAAAAATATTCAAAGTTTTATTTGGTATGAATGGAAGTCAGAAAAGCACCACATTCATTTTTAATTAATTTTTAATGCTTTCTTCAAAAGCATTTTGCAAAGTGCAATGTAAATTAACAAATGTTTACTCAGTTATTTATAGAGGCTAATAGAGGGAATAATTATTTTTGATCATGAGAATCAGCATCTTAACCCTGTCGTGCCAAAGCAAGTTAGCAATTCAGTAAGGCAATGATGTCCTAGTACAGAAAATATTGCGAGGGGACATGAAGTCTGAATTTATGGCCTCAGAAACTCTGCAGCTACATATACCTGCAAGTCAACAGCAATTGCAGTTGAGTGAAAACGCTCAGTAAAATCACGTCCTAGCATTACTTGTGCCAACTTCTGATGCCCATATCCAAAGGCTATAAACAAAAAACTAAAGGCCTTCATCTCCTTTTGGAAAATATGTCTTATCAGCTTGTATGTCTGATGCTTACCATTGCATTTGGCACTGGAGATGGTATGTAAATTTATTCTCATTTAAAAAAAATCTCCTTGAATTGAAACCACTGTATAAATTTAGCGCTTCTGCATGGTGTTTTCAATAATATGGTAGGCCAATTTTTGTACTTATATGAAATTCATAAACAGGAAGTCTGTCCCTTTCACTTTTTTGAAAAGGATGGCGATTAGGAAATAATACTAATTGCTGGATAGTTCTAGTTTGCTTTTCATTTTCTTTACTTTCTTGCACTTTAGTGTTTTCTATTTAGATTTTCATGTTTTTTTTCCCAGCAACAAAATTAAATAGATTTATTTTGTAATATAAAGGCAACAAATTAATCTTCAAATCTTGTTCTCAGTCATGAATCTTTAAAATGGATCTATGTTCAGCTCTGGGTTATTGCCGGCTCACTCTCGCTGAAAGTATTTGAAACAGTGCAAAACCAGTACCTTCTCAGACTGGAGATCTGCTTTCAGCAGTACAAATCTAGAGATGGATGGGAAGGGAATATAGTAATGGAAACTGGAAGAGCTGCTTAACGTAGCACCTGGTTTAAGGAGTCCCGTACAGAAAAACGCAGTTACCAACTCTCCCCAGGTGAAGCGTTCATAGCATGCAAGTGTGGCGTACCTGCCTTTGGCTGAAAGGTCCCTGGACTACATGGTGGAATAAAGTCCAAAGTATTTAAGATCTTTGGAAGAAACAAAAAAGTCTGGGACTAATAATCTACTATTTCTCAATTATATTATGCAAGTTGTGAAAGAAAAATATAATAGTGTTTGGAAATAAGGCCTGAAATCTACTTGTGAGTTCACTAAAACTAACCTCACCTTCGGTAGATGCCATGAACTTTTGGCACCGTGGGAGTCTAATTATGGAATTTGTTTTTCCACATCTACTTTTAGAAGATCCCTTTGTGTGGTCCCTGATATCACATCCTAAACACAAGTATTCTGTATTTACAGACAGCTGGCAGAAGAAAAATATCAAGAAAATATCAAAAGAATGCAAGAATTGAGGTCCCGTAATTTTCAGCAGCTGAATGTCAATGTCCTGCATGTAAGTATGGGCTGTTGTTTCGGAGGCCTCATTTATGCACATGCAGAGTACACCACTTTTCTGTTTTCCGTGCGCTTTCTTTAGCACTAGAGGCACAGTCCTGTTCTAAGACTAATAATTTGGAAGTGCATCAAAGTCTGGACTGCTTAGCTGAACCTGTGGATCTGTGGTGAGGAAAAGAGCATTCAGTTATTCAGATATGGTTCAACAAACTCTCTATTCATTGCACAATTTTCTTTTGTTTTGTCACTCTTAAATCTAAATCTGCTCTCTGAAATGTACTTACTGACAGTCTGCGTGACATCAGATTTCAAAATACATTCATTTTCAAGATAAGTTTAGAATTTTAATCCTTTAAACACTCTAATTTGGCATGGCTGTGGGTTCTTTTCATTTGATTAGTTAAGAATATTAACATTTCAACTGGCTTTTTAGTAAGAATGAAGTCTTGGAATGACTCCCAGTGTAAGCTGTCCTTTGCTTTTAAGCTATCTGCAACACTAGATAGGCCTGTCCAATTCTAGCACTACCTCTTATCATAGAGGGAACAGTGTCAGTTTGGAAATAGCCAGTGAAATCATCACAGAAACAATGAGGTTTTGGTTAGTGCTTTGTCTTCTACCTTTTCTTTCGCATGCGGTCTAGTTTCTATTTCCCATTGTGTCTGGAGAAAAAAAATATGTTAAATCTGTCTCTGCTTATGGCTGAGTCACTGCTGATCATTTATAAAAAAGTTAGGATTTTTTTTTTAGTGTTTGCCTTATACAAGTCCCAGCAGTTGTGTAGATCAGGGCTACCATTGTATTGTGGTCCCGCTGAAAGCTCTGACTGCATCTGTTTCTCCATGCTGCTTTATTCGACTAAGGAATCCGATGAGCAGACTTCAAAACCCCTAATTCATTCTCAGCCAGTCACCACATGCGACTGTGTGTCCATAGGACATGACGAACCAAGTGGAAATGAGACATCAAGTCAACTCCGCATGTCTGAACTTACAGACCACGGTAAGAATTAAAAATTTTATATTGAAATGAAACTTCCTATGAACAAAGCAAGATTTGATTTTGTCCCTTGTAGTTAATTTATGGCAGGGAAACTGCAGTATAAAAAGTGGTCAGATTTATTAATTTGTCAAAAAAATTACAAAGAGAGAAGGAAAATAATCTAGGTGGATGTATGTACAGCAGACGTACAGCAAGGTCTGTGTTCCCAGAGTTTGAGTGACCTGTGAGCAGCAATGGAGGTGAACGCACCTTCTCCAAATGAGATGCTCAGTTAGAAGGAAATAGCTTTAACTTTGCACATATGAAATGACTGGTGTTAGAAAAGCATTTCCTAAATTATATCTCCAGTGCAAAACTGAGTACAAGAATTCAGAGTGTTTGCACCTTTGGTACACTTTGATGCCATTTTCTTTATCTATAACAATGAGAGAAGCAGATAGAAACTCTAAACTGTGTTTATCTATACTGTCCTCAAATACTTAGCGACTGTCTAGAGGGCATGAAGTACTATATAACATGTACTTTTGTGTAGATAGATGAACAAATAGTCAAGCTTTTCAAAAAGAGTCAGACTGTGGAAATGTGCTTAGTGAGGAAAATATTTTTAAGAGCACATTTATATGTTTTTTTCCTACAGTGTTCTGGAATAGTGTCATACTCTGAAATATTTAAGGATCATTGTGTAAGCACTATTATCGTGAAAGATTTTTAATCAGGTTAGAATCTTGCAAGTATGCATTAATATGCTTTTAAGTATGAAAACTACTTTTCTCTAATAGCTCTGCCTTTTAGTGTTGATTTATGTATGTCTGTGAAGGTATACACCATTAAATTAAAGGCATCAAAATCAGTTTGTTTGTGGTGGAGGTGGGGATTTTTAATAGCAAATGGCTTTTTTCTTTCAGCGTAGCCTCATTTACATCTACGTTGTTGGCTTGCTATGTCTCAGTATAAGGAGGGATGACCCGCGTGGGAGAGAACCCAGCTGCTAGAAATACATCCTGGGGGTAGGGTGGGGAAGCTTGCAAATAAAGGACCAAGAGAAAGCAGTAAATGTGGGTAGGAGCTGTACTGGGGGAAGCGTACAAAGATACTTAAATAGAAACAGAACAACATGCATGAAAGGAAAGAAACTGATGTTTCTGCCTTTAGAGGTCATTAAGCTGTTAAACTATAATGACAGAAATTAGATGCATTTATATCTGTGATGCAAAAGTTGAGTCAATCCATTGTACAAAACTGAATGCATGTTTAATTGCTTTTGCCAGAGTCTCTGATATTGAAGTGGTGGGTTCATGAGAAAAAAGAGTTATGGATAAGCAAGATAAATCGTGTGGTTTCTTTTCTTCGCTTTGTGAATACCTTGTTATTCCTGAAGCTGATGTCAAAGCTGTTACTTACTCTATTCAGTATTCATACTCTTCTTTTCTTTAAACATTTCAGTGCAACCATGCATGTCCTACGTGTCTAATTATTAGTTATTAATGGCACCTTTGTATTTGAAAATGTAGAAACAGTTCCAGCTATTGATTTTTCAATAGAATTTGGTTCTTGATCAATGGGCTATACAACAGAAAAAACAATAAAACTAGAAGCAAGGCTATAAAATGGTTTTATAAAGTTGTCTTACATGTTAATAAATCTTGCTAACCCATACTAGGTTAGCAGAAGTTAGACTACGAATACCAGACTACCAAGCTCCCTAGCTAAAAACAGTTGAGGAAGGGGAGAAAGGCAGGAAGGAGACAGAGTCTGTTCATGAACACCAGGGAGGCTCAGCAGCAGAGTTACTTCAGGGCAGACCTAGAAAATCCTCTCAGGAATGGGAAAAGCTGGTGGGGAACACTAGGGATAGTATCCTAATCCTAACAGGTAGGGAGGAAAGTTCAAACTATCTTTGGCTTATATCCTGCAGTCCTTAAAAAAATTTGCAACATGAACAGGAGAGAAGAGCAGGGCTTGAAGGTTTGAAAGACCAGTCTCTTAAAGGGTTAGAGAGAGGCATCGAGAATAAAACACCTTACGCTCTGCTTTCACTGAAAATTATCTAAAGCGTTATGAAACACAGTTGCATGTCATTGGGGAAGGCATCAAATACAAAGCTCAAGGCTTAGCTTTAGCTGGTAGATTTAAAAACCATGGCATCTCGATCCAATTTTAGCAGTGGTAGTTACATTTACTGAAAGTTGGGAAAAACAAGACAGATAAATGAAAATCATTATGACAGTTTGGGGTTTTGGACTTCACGGTGGATGAGTTTCAGCAATGTCAAAAACATTTAAATGCTGTAGACTTCCCTGAGAAGTTTAAGCTTCTCTCCATGTTTATTTTATGTAATATGCAATGATCTTCTGAACATTTTTCATTCTAATTAGCACCCCTGTGCACTTGAGGAACATGCAAAAGAGTTGCCTGAAACCAAAAATTGCTGACCAATTTGTTAGTCTTCAAGCAGGTTTTAATTTTTGGAGTATGAAAGAGATCTGAGTGGACCCTGTGCTTTTGATGTTGAGATGAACTCTAGGTTCATCTAGATTGTTGACAGCTGGTACAAGTTCTTCAGAAACTTAAAGGAATAATCCGATTCTTATTCTCAGAGAGAAATGCTGCAGGCAATGTAAGTACTATTTTTTAACAATAAAATTCAGTTAGTTCTTCAACACCATGTACCTTACTGTGCTATCCAGCTATACTATGCAGATTTATTCTTTTCTCGTAGAGACTGGGAACACTGCTGAGTTCTGTGGGACTGACTGAGAGCATGGCTTTTAAATCTGACTGATCAGATGTCACTTGCTAAGCCAGACCAGCTTGCGATGGCTGGTACATCTTGGCACGCTGTCACCTTTCTCCCTGTTCACTTCTGGGATTCTGGGCACATGTTCTGCAGCATCCTCCATGCCTCAGCAGAAAATGAAGAACTTGGGGAGGGGGAGAGATCAAAGAAACATGAGCTTTTGCAGACAGAAATCACTTTGAAAATCATCTGTGCTTGCATTACTTAAGCTCAAGAAGAAAGGGATCCAGTTTTAACCTGGGAGTGGGCAGCAGTGAAAAATTATGTGAATAGCAAGTTATGCTATTTTTGTTGTAATGAGTCAAGAGAGGAAGCTGTGCCTTAAGCACACATATTCCAGAGCCATTATCTTGCCTCCTGTTGGTGCTCTGCTAGAAAGTGTTTGTTGCCCAATCCCACCAATTTCTCACCATTTGCTTCTGTTCCATGGAAAGAGTCCAAGCTTCAATTTGACCACCAAGTCTGGACTGTGGCTGCCATATGCATCTGCTCACACTGCCCCTTTCCTAAAGAATTTGACCTGTTTTATACACTCTGGAAAGTTCCCCCTGCTTCTCTGCCTCGAAAGCTGTTCCTGGGCCAAAATATTGCAGTGCTTGTGAACCTTTTTACTTCTGGCTGTTTCATGCCAACAATTTTAAGATGCATTGCCTTATTGCCTTGCAGCTTAAGTAGTTCTCTTCCTTCCTTTGCTCATTCTCCTCATGTTTTTATAGGCAGCAGTAATATCCTTCTGTGTAATACCTCTATGTAATACTTCTGTATTATTCATACATTGTAACACTGGTCACTTCCTTATTCCTTCCTTAAGATGCTTCCAAGCTGTTATATCTCCCAATTTACAATAGATTATTTTGGTTTTAATGCTTAAAGTCATGACCCTATTCTTTGAATTTTCTCCTTTTCCATTTTTCCAGTTCTCAGGGTCACCCAGTGTATGTTGTTATAATATCCTGGCCCTGCTTTGTATTGGTGATGCGCTCCAGCTTAGCTTCTGGAAAGCAGCACTGTGCATACTAACTCCAGCAGAGCAGACCTCTCCCTGGCCGGCTGTGCAGCGCTGCTCTCAGTTACCCAGCGGCGTGTTGCTTCTGCGCCCTTCCCACCCTCCTCGTGGTCAGCACGCTTGCCGCGATGGGAAGCTTTTGAAGAGCTGCTCTGCTGTGCTGGCCGAGCTTGCAGGGAAATCAAGTGTCCTTTCCTAAAACATCAGCCTATATGGTTAGAAGAACTCATAACCACACAAGCACGGGGCATCCTCTTGGCGTGCAGCGCCAGCAGGATAAGTAGGCAGGCACACGGGGTTATTAAGGAATATCTCTGTAAATCTTCAGGTTCTGGGACTTTGTCTCTCCAGTTCCTTGATTTAGCTGCATTTTGCATGCACGCTAGAGCAAAGGATTCTTCTGGTTTGGCTATTACTTCTCTCCACACTGCAGATCTTCCAAGAGTCATGGCAGGTGGGTAGGTAACATACCTTGCAATAGTGAAGGTTTAAAAACATGCTTTAAATTTCTGTTTCTCTTAAGTTACTATAATGTTTCTTAACAGTTTTGCATCTTTACTCATACAATCTGTAGCAAAAAATGTTCCCTTTATTTGTAAAAAGACAAGCAACAGAGTTGCTAAGAAAGAGTCAGCTAGAGAAAATACTTTTATAATTATTATTAACCATATGAAGTAAATGGCTGAAGTGGTATGTTGCGTATATCATTAGAATGGTATATACTCTTACTGTATTTTTTCAGCTAATTGGACCACTAACGTGTTCCTTGGAAATGTAAACCTTTGTAAATAGAAACCAATGAAAAATGGGTTTACTCATTTGCAACTATTTTATGTAATAATTTTAAACTGCATTAAATCTTTTAGATTTGTTAATTGGAAACAAAAGTTAAAAGAAATTATATTTTTATAATGAAATATTTATGGAAAGATATTTTATAGTTGTGTTTAATATTCATTGGAAAATGTTGATGTCTCCATCTTATGGGTCTAGGAATTTATGGAACTGTCATCGAACAAATAATTTAAAACTATGGTGGACAGAGCAGTTAAGAATATATTGTGCTGCCGGGAACGGTTTTACTTTACTAGAGATATCTTCATGGCTTTTCCATCTCCAGTTTCTCCAAGTACAAGCAAGAGACAAAAGAGCAGAAGTTAGTTCCATACTGAGATTGTACTCAGAGACACTGAGCTA